ATAACTTTTATACAATTCTATGCCTTTAAAAAAATCCCCCTGTTTTCTGTCAAATAGTGAGGAGTCCCTGTCAGGAACAGCAAATCTTTTGTCTCATTGTCAGTATTCAGAAAATGACCAAACCATTTACTGTCTAAATTTTAGAATTTCTTTTACATTTTAATACTTTTTCTTACATTTACTTTAGATATTTGATTATACAGCTAACTTTACTTGATATTTATGGATCTTGATCTTTATTTCTAGTTTTATTGGAATGGTTTATAAACTTTCCTAATGTAAAGTTACCTCTCTGCTTTTAAAAAGTTTTTTATTTTTTGCATTTTTGGGGGGGAAAACAACTAAAATAAACTATCATCAACTTATATTTCTATTTGGGATTATCTCACAGATATAGGCAAATTCTTTAATTAAAAAAAATTATTTTATTGCAGGAAATTTGGCTCCAGATCTCATCTAGACTAGTTTTTTGTACAATATATATTTTGTTGTTTGATGAATAAAAGAAATTTCACCATATTTAAACTTGAAACTTTTACTGGAGAAGGAAGAGGGGTTTTATCTTTCCTTGGAAAGGAGAGAACTGTATTGCTGTTCTAAATATTGCTGCTCATCTTCCTTCAGAATGTGGTGAGAGGGTATGTCTGGGTCACATCTCCACCCCCCTCTGTGGAGATTAGCCACAAAGACAGTCTCCCATTAAACCCCCCAGGGTTTTGGGTCTAGTCAGCGACATTGAACGCTAGACGAGTTGGAAACAGACTGGTGTGCGTTGGGATGGTTGGATTGTGATGAAGGGTGTGGTGAAAAACAAGAAAGATTTGAACAGCTTGGGTTGTTTACACATAGAAAGAGTTAAAGCAAAGATGAGAGGAGACAGACAAGGATGCCACACTTACAAGCTTCATCTGACCACGTGTGCATGAAGTTCTTCACAGGAATAAAAATGGCGAAAATAGAGTTTCAGAGGTGGATTTTTACTTATAATAGCTTCTGATTATTGGATGCTTTAAAAAATGAAAATTTTGTTTTTAATTTAGTTCAATTAAGATTACAGCTAATGTCAAGAGAGAAGACTTTTATCCAGCAAACCATTAAATAGAAAAAAACAAGTTATGCTGGAATGTCACTAATGGGGGGGGTACTTAAAATGTTGGCTGTTGTTGTTGGACTGCAGTTGAGGTTTGTCGGTGGGCGAGGCAGAATAAGAAGGACTCCATTCAGAGGCCAAAGGCCCACGGCTTCGTGAGGAGCATCAGACAGTGCTGTGGGAATTTAGCCTATTTGAGATGCAAATTCCTCAAAGAGCTGAAAGAGAGGGAGCAACAGGTGTCTGAGGAAGTGTGCAGCACCATGGGTGAGGGAGGGAGGGTGCTGAATGATAACACAGGGGCCATTCAACTGCTGGCTATTAACTCCTGTCTTGGCTTGACTTTTCCACCCATCTTAATTTATTTCTAAAGTTACCAATACATTATATGAGATTAAGTGCCATTCGCGTGTGAAGTTGCAGTCTGTGAGAATATGACTCATTTAAGGCCAATGGGATATACTCAAGGCTGAAGTCAGTATTATATGTTTCTGTGAGGCAAAAGTGTGAAAATGGATTAAGACAGCAGATGCCTTGGTTTTATAAATAATCTGGGCGCTTCTTCAAAAATTGTTGAGTAAAAGGGTTGCAAATTATAACAACTATCCATTGATTTTCAAAGAACAACTTCATACAGGACAACTTCATTAAAATCATAAAAACCTGGACTTAAAATAAACCTTTAATTAAAAAGACTTAAAACAGGTACGAAACCTGAAATCGGTCCAATATTAGCCAAAAAAAGAACATCGAAATAATCTTACTGCATCTAAACTCTCCAATATAAGCCTGCCACAAACACTCATCTTCTATCTGCTTCTGTTTAAAGTTCATGTAACCCATATAATTCATAAATGGGTCATGTTTAAGCTTTTTGTAACATTCCACACTATGAGTAATAAAAGTATGTGTGATTCGTGCTGATATCGTATTATGTCAATATCGATGTTGGTCAATTATCAAAGCTGCCATATTGGCATTGAATCGGAAATTTAAAAGTCCCGAATCATGTGCATACTAATCCTTACAGATTGGAGCATCGGTTATTTGGGGAAACAAATATGCATGGCTAAATGGACTGACTCAGTTAAACTCAGTTTACGTAAGGCCGTCCTTCGTGCTCGCCCCATGAGCGTTCTTTTTCTGCACATGCTCAATTTCAGCTGCATATGTGTGGTGTGCTATGGTTGTAAACAGTCATTAAAGCTCACGTTTCGCACCGTGGGTCTTTGAAAATGGCCGAGGGTTGTAAGAGAAAAAGTGTCTATGAAGAGAGAGTGGAGAGCTCTCCTCGCAAAGCACTATGGGATTTGCTGTCACTGCGGCCCGCAGCGGCGATGAATAGCAAAGATGGCACAGACAGCGCGTGGACGAGGAGGAGTTAGGAGACCAACGATGCAAAAAGCAGTGATCACCTGTCTGAACGGTCAGTTAACTGAGTTTGCTATAAAGTCCTTTATATAATCCCTGCTGTATGTGGACACAGTAAGCTTATGAGCTATGACAACAGCTCATTTTAAACAGGGCGTGCAAGAGGAGAAATCGGCTCATGCACGCTCTTGCATGACCATTTATTTTTAAAGTGGAGAGGGCGGGTCTTTTAAAAAATCCTCCACAATACCTTTAAGCTATTTCGCTTATATCATTATGAGAAGGCCTTAACAGATAATGACCTTTCATGCAGCTATACGCTTTGCGGGTTTTTTTGTTTGAAAAAAAAAAAAATATATATATAATATGAACTGGAAGAATAAAAAGAATTCAAACATAACATATTTTAAAAATGCGTAATTATTAGACAAGAAGATCCCACCAGAGAGGGCAGTGTAAGTAAAGTGGAGATAAACAGGCTCCAATGTCTTTTAGGTGTGGAGAGAAACAAAATGAAAGAAGAGCGAATGAAAGATTTGACAAAAGAAATGCAATTTACAAAGTTCCAGCTGGAAAAGCAAAAATCTCACCACAACAAAGAATCCAACAAAAAGAAAACTGTTGATAAGCAAAATCTTCTTAGCTCATTTAGAGCTGAGAATGAAACTTTGCGTCAACTGAAACAGTAGAAATGTACTGCTCTGCAAAATCAACTGGAGCAACTTAAGATCTGTAGTCAAGAAACCATCTCTAAACCACCTAAATATTCTTACGTTGAGTCAACAAGTAAGATGGAAAATGATTAATAAGTTTGAAAGAGGTACACCTACTCTGAAGGACAAGACAAAAACTGATTAAGGACATGGAACGTCATTCAAAGACGTCAATGAACGGCATTCAGATGTTTAAAGAACTAAAGACAAGAACAAAACTCCAAGAAATGGCTCATAAAAAAGTTACAAGCCTTGAACAATCCACTGAGGAGACAGAGACACGTTTCCAGAGAGAGCTGCAAGAAGAAATACTTTTAAACAAAGAAGTTACAAGAAAGTATGAGGTTGTGGTAGGTATGTGGAAAATTGAGGTTTGAAACAGAAGGTAAATGCAAACATCAAAAGCATTTTTAAAAAATGACCTATGAAATGAAGATCCTGAATGTATTTGTTTCAAACCATAGATGTCGAACCAAGAATCGCTTGAGCAAACAGCTGAAGACGCAGAAGCTCGTTTGCAGATGGAGCTACTGTAGGTCGGATTAGGGCTACACAACGGAAGTCATCTGTTGAAAAGGACAATCTTATGCTAAGAGAACAGGCAAAAACACTAAAACAAGAGTTGGGTAAGGAAAGTGAAGCTACTACCAGACAATCACAGGTCTGCTCTCTTCATCCTCTGACAAGGGAGTTGGCTCAGAGCTCATCTGCCTGGCTATGTGTTTCGTGGATGGGGCCGCCTTTTACAGTTGCTTTTTGTATCTCTGCTTCTGTCTCCTTGAACCCCAGACGGCCTCGGCAGATGGCCGCTCACACTGAGCCTGGTTCTGCTGGAGGTTTCTTCCTGTTAAATAGGAGTTTTTCCTCCCCACTGTTACTACAAGCTTGCTTAGTGTTAGGGATTGCCTTTGAGTCAATGAGTCGATGCAATCAGCTGGTTTTCCTTACATAGACAACTTTGAATCAATTATTATTGTATGATCTGGTGAATTATAAAGTGCCTTGAGATGACGTGTTGTGAATTGGTGCTGTATAAATAAAATGTAATTGAATTAAGAAAGGCTACATTATTGGTATAAGAGTGTCACCTTCTCAATCGAAGCCCCTCAAAATACACTATCAAAAGCAAACTGTTTGGTGTATACTCAGTTTGATTAGATAATAGTAATGTGGTTCTTTTACTGAGAGCATATCTAATCTGATCATATCAGCCTCAAGCACCCAAGTACACCAACCCAAATTTAAAAATCATACAACTCCCTGTTAAACTTGGGCTTCAGCTATAATGTTCTGGATATTTTTTTTCCACTTTTCCAGAAAAAAAAGGCCAGGATGAGTCACTGCGTATGAATATGAGTGGATTTTACTTGTCATGGATGGAGGCAGAAAAATGCCTTTCTTTGAACTCAAAATATTCCAAATTTTTTAAAGAGCAGCATGGTTGAGAGGCGCTTATATTATTGTAACCTGACAGAAACACACGTGTATTCGACAGATCTCCATGTGCTGCTGCCGTGGGTTTTCTCCAGGTGCTCAGATTCCCCCCATCCATGCAAAAAAATAAGCATCTTTCTTATGATTTAACTTTTAAAATATCTTGAAAGTGAAACTTTTCTCTCAGGAGATTTTGAATATTATTGAATGAATATTATTAGAGAGCTGAAACCTTCATGATGACAATTTTTGGCACACGGTATTCTCTGTTGTAGACAATAATGGTATCAACAAATATTTTAAATTTATACGAAAAAGCTAACTTCTCTTGAAAAAAAAAAAAAAAACACACAAAAGGAGAAAACCCCCCCACAATATTTAGTTTTAAGATTTCTTTAAAATCAACAAATACTCTCAGCCACCTCACCAATAAAATTCCAGACATAAGATCATAAATGCTTACATCATGTTACATATATTTAAACACTTCTTAGACTGGCAAATGTTGATTGTATAAATTGTCATTTGACTCAGTTTCCTTCATTTGACAGCACATTAATCAAAACAACAATAATAACAATATTATTAATGGGAAACAATACTTACATTTGGCTGATTATCAAAAGTATATGGCAACCTGGATTAATAAGGATTTTAATGTTGCAGATTACATTCAACAATTCATATAAATTCTACCTTTGAAAAAAAGATTTTTTTCATCAATTCTTCTTTTTAGAATCTCATAAAAAATGTACAATTTTAAATTAAGGGGAACCATAAACCTTAAAGAAAACTCAACGTTCTTATACATTTCATATCTTCTTAACACATAAATATCATCTCTTCTCAAAAACCCAACCCGTTCTGTCAAATATCTGTTATTAACTTGATATACAAAGAATGAACAATAAATCTTTGGTATATTGAAAAAAAAAATCCCCCCCCATGATGCACCCAACTGCTATAGCTCAAAAACAGCATCAGGGTGCCCCCTTGTGGACCTGAGGATCAGTAGATCATTAGCATGAGTAAAATGTGCAGAGCAGAAAACCTGAAAGCTTTCTGTGAGTTAGTGTGAATGTCTGAGATCAAGTCACAAATCTGAGAAAAACAGAAGAATGAAAAGGATCCTCCCATCGATTAGGATAATTTAAGCTAGATTGTATGAACACCAATCACCATGAACGGCCCATTAGTGACATATCTAAAATGATTGCTCATACAAGTTAAAAACCTTGTTCACTAAGCTTAGATGGATCAATATTCTCATTAAGAATAATAAATCTTAGATTTCTGCAAAATTCCAGAAAACTACCTGAGATTTAAACGATTTTTAGAAGTTTACTGGATGAATCTAGGAGGGAGCAGCATGACAGAAATTAGGAAAGTAAACAGTTGACAGCAACATGTAAGGAAGCCAGGGCGTAGTAAGTGTGCTTTATTGTTTTGGTCTATATCTTTCCGAGTCCGTCTCACCAGTGCTGCGCCATGTTTATGGAATGTAAACAGGGTTGTTTCGGCTTGTTAGATCAGACTTTGTTGGCGCGGTGTGTTCAATGGTGTCACGTAATTTAGCGGGTCAACCCGGTTCTGGTGATCCGACAGTACACCAATCAGAGCCGAGACGATTTTAACCCGGGTCGCTTACCGAGTCCTTTGAGCCGGTTAGACACGTGTCAGTGAGCTGTCCCCACTGCCAATAAAAGACGATTGTTCCGCAGTTTAAACGCGTTTTTCTGCTAGTAGGAAAGGGGTTTTAGAGGAATCTATTAAGAGACTTCAAAGAGAGGACTAAACTTCCTTCTGCTGCAAAGCTCGGTTTATTGTAGCTTTAAAATCTGATGAGTGCTGGTGTTCAAACAGAACCGTTTGAAATGATTAATGTTATAAATTGGTGAAAACCTCGCCTTTAAAGATACGTGTCCAGATCGTCGCTGCTCAGACTCTCTTTGGACCCCTGGATGTTCAAGGATTGAAGGGCGGGGGAGGGATCACCGGGATTAACGGTCTCAGTAGGGAGGACAGCCGTATGCCCGTTTTCCTTTGTAGTCTTTGTCTTGCCATTTGCTTCTGACACCACATCTGTTTTTGATTCTAAAGGAGACTCTACAATGATGGTCGGTCTCTGTCTCAGCTCCTGTCGGCTTGGTGGCTCTGCAGCCATGATGGCCTTAGCGCCGTGCATTCTGGGAGGGGACTTGCAGTTTAGATCTCCGTGAGTCTCCTTCCAGCGCCGGAGCTGAGCTTGGTGTTCCTTCTCAATGTCCTTCTCAGACACTGGCAGCTCTATGATCTGAAACATGCAGATGAAGGAAGTGTTTCAGCTTCAGAAAGGCTGCAATTTAACAAGTGAAAAAACTACCACAGATTTCCCTTACCTCCTGAACCAGAAAGCTTTCGCGCATGTACTGTGGGCTGATCTTTTTCAGCAGTTCCATTGTTTCATATAACCCTTGGCAGGACTTCAATTTTTCTTGTGTTCCCAACATGCATTTTAGGAGAACCAGGCCGACTCTGAAGAGGATCTTCACTCCTGAGAGCACAGAACCAATCAGAACATGCAGCTGACACCAGTATGGGATAAAAACAAGTAAGAGATCTCTGTATATGTAGGTATGGAAACACATAACTTAACATATAACATAGAATGACAATTTAGATAGATTATGCATTAAAAAAAGGAAAAGGAAAATAATATTGCAGGAGGAAGATTCAACTACAGTTATTTTAGAAAGTTATTTAGAAATTAAGAAAGGAAACTGAATTTCTTCTAACACTTAGGAAAATGTCTGCCGTTCGTTAAAACTGCATAAAATTTAGAGAGACCTACACTTTTAATAGATAACGGGAAGGGTGAGCGTTGTGCAGCAGGGAGGTCTTATCCTCTATGAGCTGGCAGTGTTTTGGAAATTCCAGAGCAAATACAAGGGTTTGGGGAGCTAGCGTTCTCTAGATCTAACGCTAGCTTTTTGGCTTGACAACCTGTTTTATAATAAGATGCAGAAAACTATTTAAAACCTCAAATGGGAAGGATGGATACAGAATCTTCCTGCTGTTTTTATTGCATGCTTATAAAGAAAAAATAAATCAACCATATAGTTGGCTATACACTGATGAGGCCTGTTATTATTTGTATTAAACTGTTTATTTCTCTTTTTTCCCCTAAGGTTATTAAATTATTTTATGTATTCCTTTATTTTACAGCAATCCCTCATTTACATGTAGAATAAAACAAAAATAAATATATTCTTTAAACTGGGAGGAAATATCAGCTTAAAAACATCTAAAAAGGAGAATTCCCAGGGTCTAACAGTGGCTTTTTCTTTGCAGCATAGTTCTTTTTAATCAATGTGTTTATAGAGCACATGTACATTTTGGTTCAGATGATTTTATTTTAAGGCGACTGTAACAAGTCACCAGGTTTTAAAATGCTTATTTACAGCTGCTGAATCTACAGATGTGCAGATATAAAAACATGATCATATAATCAATATGATCTGTCTTCTAAAATATACAAAATCAGACATTTAACATTCTATATTTATTTAATTTGCAGCAGAAATGTTTTCTTTTTTACTGCTTATCTAAAAAATGGGAAAAATAGTGAAAAGTAGGAAAAGTAGTTTCTCATTTAGTGGGACAATGTTTTTTTCGGGGATGGGGTAGGATGGACACTAATTCAAGACAAAAATATTGGAGTCAAAGAAAACAATAATCTAAACAAAATGTAGACTACAGTAAAGTCAAATATGTTAAATTTAACAAGCTATGAATGTGACTTTAGTCAGTTTTTGATTTGTTTGATAATTGACATTTATTGCTTAGATACAAACCAATGCTCAGAGGGAGTGGCAGCAAATGGGACATAATTACTCCCAGGAAAACAGAACATTTAAGTTCTTTCATTTTAAACAAAAGGGATCATTTCCAGAAGCTGCTCACCCTCACAGAGGAACATGTCCCACACGCGCAGCACAGAGGACCAGGGCAGAGTCCGAGAAAAGGCACACATGAACCACTCCGTCATATAGAGGATGGGCTCCAGTTTATGTTTCTTTAAGTGGCGGTGAGCCGAAGCCGACACCCGCCGCAGCAGAGCGTTTAGGATCTCCCCATCCAGCTGGATCGCCTCCTGTGGAGAAAACGGGGAACGGCAGTGAGCCAGTGAACAGAAAAGGGTTCTCTGTCTTCACCTAATCTGATTGTCTGCTTATCCCGTCCTTGGCCCAGTCACCACCTTGAGTTATTGGGTTGTTAGCTTATCAGTATCCACACAGAGACACTCGCTTGACAAGTCTTGCACCACGTCTTAAACCTGTACCAGCCAGCAGTAAGACAGTTGCTTTGAATTGGAAGCATTTAGCGGACAAGCTCTGGAAAAACCTTTAATATATCTAAATCCTCTAAAAACATTTGATTTTAGTACAAGACTAAATATTCCTGCTAATAGGCGGACACCTCTTTGTTGATCATTAGATCTCAGCTAGGCAATGATTGACAAGCTGAGCATGGGACAATCAGGTGACACCCTGCTGCTCCCCCAAGTGGTTTGAAGACATACCAGTCCTGTGCTGTAGTATCCAGGAAGGTATTTTTCACAGATCTGGACAAGAACCCAAAAGGCATCCTAAAAAAGAAAAGAATTTATAGTTATGTTTTAATCAAAGCAAACATTTTAAGCAGATTCATGCTGGTTGATAATGTATAGATATAATGCATTAAAACAAACAAAATGATCTGAAGATGACATAGAAGAGCAGAACATGCTGACCTCAGCTGGCATGTGCATCAGGAGAACAGCAGCAACAGGAGCCTGAGCCTGACAATAACCTTCATCTGGTCGATGGAGAGTGTAAGCTTTCAGCACGCGAAACAGATCCTGCTGCCTGCATAAAACAAATCATGTTCTTTGCAAGCTTTGTTCATCCTTCGATACTTCTAAATAGGATTTTTTTTCTGCTATGAGACATCTAGGATCCACAGAAAACATGTGGCAAAAGAAAAACATGGTGGTGGCAACATCATGCTGTGGGAAGGCTTTTCTACAGACAAGATAGGGAAGCTGCTGAGTCAATAAGAACACGGACGAAGCTAAACCCAACTTCCAAAAGTGAGATCCTAAACACCCACCTACGATTCAATCAAAAAAAGAAACAATGGCAAGAATTGAAAATTAAATAAAAAAACTTTTAACATAATGAGCTCCTACTTTACAATGGTCAGTCATGTGAAACTTCGTTTAAAAAAAACCCCATAAGATTTGAAAATGTTCCAGGGGTATGAAGACTTGTAGGTTGCACAGAATTTATACAAAGGATAGTTACTTACCCATGGCCTCCTCTGGCTGCAAACATTTCGTGAAAAGGAAACTGTCGATGAAGATCCCTCTCAATGACGTCAACCCATTTTGGATCTCCTGGTTGGTTGTCCAGTTCCTAAAATATATCCACTCGCTCAGCTGTTGCAACATTTACCCTGCTACATTTATAAACAAGCTCAAATGTGCCCCTATAAAAAATAAAGGAGATTATGATGATTGCAGCAAATCCAAACATTAAGCTTAAACATGAGGAGCTGCTGCAGTTTCTCATGATATTGACTTTTCCAGCTGACATGGCAACCAGTAAGGTGGCCCTGTGTGAAGCAAACTGACGTGGATACTGCCCAGATGATTAATAAATGTTGTAAAAGAGGAGCATAAATCTCCTACTGACCTCAAACCTTCCCTTATTTTGCTCCCTTTTTACTTTGGCTCCTGTGAGGTAGAGCCAGGCTCGGCCTCGCAAGGAAGGAGGAATCCCCTTCTGACAGCGCTCCTTTACCTTTTATCCAACGAAAACATATTAAATCAGTGCACTGAAACTACTAAGCAAGAATTTATTTTCATCTCTGTGCTTTCTGCAGCAGACCTTGCTGTGTTTTTTAGACATCCACTTGTCCCAACTGTTCAGCATCTCCAGCCATTTAGCTTCGCGTTGCCTCAACACTGCAATGGGGACCTCTTCTGCACTGAGGAGACAGAAAACACAGAAACAGTGTTCAGACAAATGGGTAAAAGCTTCACTGTCGTCTCCAGCTGATTCACGAGGAGAATCCCATCAGCAGAGCGGGAGCGCTTCCTCTAACATGCAGGAAGCCAGCGTCAGGGAAAGCCATTGGGGTGAAGTGGAGGGAAAACAGGAAGCTGATGGGAACCTTTCCTCCAATTCAGCTCATCAGCCTTAGACACAACGGCATCTCCTTTTTGCAGCAGTACAAACAAAAACCAGCACCTTCGTTAAAAAACACAAGGATCTAATTAGAATTTTAGCTAAACTCCTGAAGAGCACGGATGGCATGTTTTTATTTATTTATTTACCCACCGTTTTCCACAGAAGACAAATTTCCCTGACAACAAGGTTCAAATTCAAGAACTTGTACTACTGTCTAGCATGGTGGTGGTAGCATAGTGCTGCGGGGGTGTCACTGCTTGTTCATTGCACAAAATTAATGGAAGATGTAGTAAGAGGAGGACTCCCTCCTCAGCTTGTAAAAATCATATTTTTAAAGCCCTGATTTAAACTGTATCTAGATTTTATAGACCAGGTGTAAAAGTTTGTTGCATGGAAACCAACCAATACAAATAATTCAGCCATTCTCACAATATACATGATCAAACTCTTAAATACAAAAGAGGATTTTTGGTCCTGTCAAAAAAAAAAAAAGAAAAAGGTACTGAATATTGTGATGCTAATTAAATCCCCAAGTGGGTTTATTCTTGATCGTTTTCTAACTTCAGGTCAATATCTAGTTTATAAGCAAATTTCCAAGCCATGTTTTTATGATGGTGGATGCCAGAAACCAGTTTTGATACAAAGCAAGAGGAGGAAACTCTTATCTTGTCTGAAATGTTCTTGCAAGAACGTCAGGATAAAAGTTTCATGCAAAAAACATGAAAACTGAAAGCTGAAGAGGGCTCCCACTAGTTTGCATGAACACTAAGGGAGAAATCAACCAAACAAGCAAATCAAAGGGAAATACTCCGCCCTGAGTTATTATCCTCTATTGTTTGAGCATAAAGAGGGAGGATCTTTCACGATGTTCAGTCTAAATATAGATTTAATCATATTTCCTGTGCTTTCTTAAGGCGGTATGATAAAAATGTGTCCTCCTTCCATTTTCTATCCAATAACAGAAGTTTATTTAAATAAATAAAAGAACAGGAGTAATTGCCTACTATTTTAAAAATGAAAATGCTTTCAATTTTTTTTTATTTCTTAACAAATATGTTGATAAATGATTAAATGCTGCATGAGTGTTTAGACAAGTGGAAGATCACAAGTCAATTCAGTATCAATATCCATTCAGGCATGCTGTGTGTCTCTAAAAACATTTGTGAAAGAATGGGTCACTTATGTGAGTTAAGTGAATTAAGTTTTGATACTAAACTCACTGTCAAGCAATAGTGGTATTTTAATGCAGTGGAGGTGATTGGGATCCACAGCAAGTCACCAGTAAAGTGGGAAACCCTGTTAAATCCCAGATCTGGGTCAGGGAATGGGGAGTGTTTGTGCAGCGGAGTATACAGAATAGCCTGCAGATCTCCAACATGTGGAACCTGGGTTATGTTAAGAACTAAGCATTGCTGAATGATTTTCCATGGACAAGCAGCTTTAACCAAACCTGACTATAAAAGTGACTGCAAACTATCAGCTGGCTGTAAAGCAGACTGCTCAACAATCCTATGATGTTTGAGTTTACATTTCCAAGGAGTATGGGCCGCACCTGACTGCACTCTGTTAACTAGAAAGACAGTGCAAAGGGACTCGATGTATTTGTGATATCCCAAACACATCCTGCTTTAAATGGTCTAGACTAGGGGGTGAGTATCGGTATGTGTTTTGCGATACGATGTGTGTCACGATACTTGTGTCCCAATACGACATCACCATAATATTGCAATATCACTATATATTGCGATATTTTACCCAGCTATCAAAATGAAATGTATAGATAAAAAAGCAAGTTCTGTATATGTTCATCAGTAATTGTGTTGTTTGGGGTTTGAGTCAGCCAACATCTTTTACTGTGACTGCCTCAATTATAGAAATGGTGCAACGCCGCTGTGCAGGGGTAGCCAATGTTCCCTCATCCCTCAAAATCGATTTTTTTCCCACACCCCTAGTGTAAACCCAACCTAAAACAAGTCGGCCAATCACGTTGTGGTATTATGTTTAAGACGGCACATTTAGGATTTAGAAATTCCAGAATTTCTGAAGATAGAATGGGAGGCAGATCTTTTAGTTATCAGACTCCTCTCCTATGGAACCAACTACCAGTTTTAGTCCTTGAGGCAGACACCCTGTCTACTTTTAAGGTTAGGCTTAAAACTTTCCTTTTAGATAAAGCTTATAGTTAGAGATAGCTCCGGTTATCCTGCGCTATCTCTATAGTTATGCTGCTATAGGCTTAGACTTCTGGAGGACATAGGGACCCCTATTTCATCATTCTATCTCTATTCTCCCGCTCTGCAGAATCTGTTAGTTTAATATCTAACATTACGCTCTCTCTGCTTTTTCTCATAGTAGCTTCACCTCGTCTGTTCCTGTTTGGCTGTGACTCCATCCTGGAGAGAAATATAGGCTGTTCTTCCTGCCATCAACACCTTTGTTTATAGATGTTGGAGATCGGCCTGTTTTCCAGTGTATCCCTGTTTCTCTGACTGTGACTGGCTGGATGTGCTCTCTTCATCCTCTAACAAGGGAGCTGGCTAAGAGCTCGTCTGGCTGGCTGTGTGTTTCCTGGATGGGGCTGCCTTTTACAGCTGCTTTTTGTGTCTCTGCTTCTGTCTCCTTGAATCCCAGTTGGCCTCAGCAGATGGCCGCTCACACTGAGCCTGGTTCTGCTGGAGGTTTCTTCCTGTTAAAAGGGAGTTTTTCCTCTCCACTGTCGCTACAAGCATGCTTAGTGTGAGGGATTGCATCAGAGTCAATGAGTCGATGCAATCAACTGTATTTCCTTTCATAGAAAACTTTGAATCAATTTGACTGTATGATCTGATGAACTGTAAAGTGCCTTGAGATGACGTGTGTTTGAATTGGCGTTATAGAAATAAACTAAAATGAATTAAATCAATATGGCTGCCAGGTTGCTCTTTTTTTTTTAGGAGCTGGTTTTTATGTTCCAGTTAAATGGAGTTTAACTTTTGTAAGGACCAAATGTTTGGTCACCTTTCTGTTTGAACATGAAGCTAACAAAGGAAGGGATATAACAGCGCTGATGACTGAAAAGGTCCATATTTAATCCTTACATTAGATTGAATCCTTTTGTCGATATTAGTCTTCTTTATTTAAGATTTAGCTGTAAATCCTAAAGAAACGGTACTTACAGTTCCTGCTGAGTTCCTCCAGTGAAGCCATACTTGTCCACCTGCCTGTCTTCGGGGATGGAGCCGTTTACCTCCGGGTCCATTCCATTTGATTCACCTTTCCCTTTGCTATCCGTCAGCTTCTCTGTGTTGTCATGGAGTTCCAGTCCATTTCCCTGCTCCGTTTTTGCCATTTAGGCGGCATTTAACTAGGAAGTGATCTAAAAACTCAGATAAGTTTAAAGCTCTCCATTCAGGTTCCAACTGCTCTGGCTAACTGCTACGGGACGCAGCTAGCTTAAATACTAGCATACCAACGACAACAAAAACCGTTTGAAGATATATATATATTTTTAAATCGGCTATTTGGTCCAAAATGGAAGATAATTGCAACAAAAATCAACCCCCGATTGATTCAAATCCAACCACCGGCAAAAATAATAATTTAGCTCGGTTATATATGCTAACTCTAAAGTTATGCTAATGTCACAGAACCCTCAGCTGACACTTTCCTACTGAGAAGTACTTCTGTCAGCAAGAATGCAGCTTAGCTCAGGGCTACAAGGAAGAGAAACTGGCAGCCAGGATCAGGGGCAGGTTCGCAAACAAAACATCCATGGCATCCCGTGTTCCCGACTGCCACCTACTGGTGAAGCAAGTGTATGGCAGCTTACTGTCTGGATGTGATTTGCACCAGTAATTTCCTTCATATTAATGAAAAATAGTTTCATATTTGGCAATCGTTTCCCTGAAAAACACTGTATTTACAGCAATATACTGCAAATAATAAAATATACGTATTTAAAAAATATTAAGGTAATTTATCTTGATCAAGGCCTGTAGGTAAGACAATTATTAATGGAATAAGAATGTTTTGATTTTAAACAACAAAAAAGAAACTATTATTTGAAGTAAATAATATACAATAATCTTTTTAAGGACAAAAATACTTAACTTGGCAAATCATTTTATTTAGAATATCAATCTAGGGGTAAATACACTGATTTAAGGAATTGTAACATATTCAGATCAGTTTTCAATACTAGATTTCTTGTGATATGCACTGACAGCAAAGAACTGATTCATCTATTGGTCTAATTTAATGTTTCACCTTTTCAATTCACTTTTAACATTTAGAAATTAGGGTCAGCTTTAAGCTTTAGCTGAAGGGATCACAGTTTATCTGTTTAATCAGGAGTCTGAAACCCCAACATTGTGGCTCACTGAATGTAGATTTGTGTAATTGTTTGCTACGTTTCTTTTTTCTGTGGATAACTAATAATGAAATAACCTAAATAAAAAAAATAAATAACTCAGCCAAATGATCAGGAGCAAAATTCTGGTTGATCAATTTGGAACAACTTCCAGCTGCCTGAGGGTGTCACGCTCATCTGCTCATTGTTATAAAGAATAGACTAATTTATGTTTCAGTAAAGAAATGAGACATGTATCCCAGATATTGCTGCATTTCTCTACTTTTGCAGAGACAATTTCTGGAGCATCATGACATGTGGGTATTTTGCTACAGAAGAGACTGGTAGACTAGATGGCATCTTTAAGTACCAATATTATGTGGAAATACTAAAGTAATAAGAGAAATCAAGCAAAGTTAAAGACTAAAAACAAATTTGTCTTCTTAGTGAGTTAAAGCATGCTGCTAAATTGTATAAACAGTGGCCTAAAAACACAAAAGCCGGTTTACCATAGGAAACTTGTTGGCAGATACATAAAGGGGGGTGTGAGTTATATTGCATGTCCTGAAATTTAAAAACTAATCCTACCCTGCAGCAAGGTAATGTACCTTGGTAATTGTAGCAGGCAGGCCGTTTATTCTGATTTTAAGTGAGAAATTGGAAAAAACAAAAACAAAACAGCACATCCAGGAAAAAAAGAAACACTCAAATAACGCATTATAGAATAAATAATCTACTGCTATTCCTACTTTGTCCTGTAAAAAGGTGAATGTGCTGAAAACAAATTCACACACACAAAAAAAATTATCAATGGAAATCTATTAACCATTGGAGGCCTGGATTTGGAGTCGCACAAAATGAAAGTGGAAAAAGCTCTACATGCTGAACCTACTTTGATGTAATGTCCTTAAAACAGGTCAAAATGGGTAATGTGTATGACTTCCATACAACAGCTGGGCAAGACATGGATTAAATGATTGTTCATGCATTCCCTTTATTTTCTAAGCTGTGTATAAGTTTGTCCCAGTAAAAAAATAAAGAGAACACTCAAGATTTATAATTTACCTGAAATTCATGACATTAATCACATCAGAGGCCCTCCATATAATCACAAAGAGCATAAACACAGCTTTAGAGAAAAACAACACCACATTTTTAGTATAAATACTAGATTCTTTATTTAAATATTGTACATATTTTAAAACATACCAGTATTTACATATATTAGACCTGCATTATTATACTGTAGACCTCTAGGCGCATCGTTCACACTCTTGCTAAAAAACAGAATCATACCATCAGACTGCAGAAGCACCTTTGAGAACAGCTTAGCATGAGATAAAGACAAGGGGCAGAAGGGAAGGGTGGGGGACACTTTATATTAAAAACACTGGGGGAAAAAAAGACACCAGCAGACACAAGACAAGCTTGCAATGACAGGAAAGGCCTCATGATTTACAGATCGAGCTTTTAAGGCTGTAACTGGGCTCACCTTTTATTATGTGAAAATGAGTAAAATTGTCCTGGCAGCATTAGAGAAACAAAAGAAAAGTGCCAGGCAGGCAACAGGAGGATATATTCAAATAACCGCTTTTGTTTTGTCATGAGATATAGGGGCCGGTTACCTCAAAACGAGATTTTTCAACTGCTCCCTCAAAAACACACACAAAAAAAAACTAATTAATCTCCAATGCATAGCACATAAAAATAAATCTGCTGCAACCGCACCAGCAAAGTACCAATATCATTATCCCCAGTTGTTGCAGTGCGTTTTAACTAGCAATATGGCTTTCCTTTTTTGGTTGCTTGTCTTGCTTACAGCTATCCAGTCACATTAAACATACAAACAAAAGTCTCAAACATGTGAGGCAACTTTTCCTCACCCACAATCCTTTAAACCCTTCCTGTTAAAGATGCTGCACACTTCTGAGCACTGCTATCCACTAGTGTTGCTTCATGAACAAAGCAGTGATGTAGAGGTGATCTTTGGTGGACATGCTTTAAAAAATGGCCTGCTGAGTTTTGGGTAGTGCATTATGTGTTGATAATAAATCCAGTGTATGCATTTATTCCCAGATTTTGCAGAAATACAGAGGCTGCAAAGTGAATCAGTGTTAAGAGTAAAGCACCTTACATGTTTTTACAGTGCTTTCTTTATGAGGGAAAATTCTGTAGTTTCACTTTTCACACAGCGTATGGGGAAGCTGGTGTCATTTTACTAAAGAATCTATGGGTAAGTGTGATGAAATACCAGTTTCTGAGCTTGATGATTTTCTGTTAGAATAAGAAAATGAAATACGTTGGGTTCTAAAAGAACTTGATGCTTTTAGGGCTTCACGTCATACCCTCAGCATTAAATCGTCGGAATGATAAAGCCAATGGAACTACGTGTAAAAAAGGAGAAAAAAACAACATGTTTTTAAGACAAATTAAGTTACAAAAAAAAAGTACTACGTAGATATGCAAGAAAGAAATAAAAACCTGCAAATTTTTTCAAAAAGCTACAAAAATATTTCTGCATTTTATTTACTTCTGACCCATCATTGCAACTACAAACATTCCCAGCATTTTCACACAACAACTATTAACATTCAAGACTTTTCACACATCATACTCATATTTTAACATCACTCCAACCATACAGTGGACGAAAAGGGGTATGTCAAGTAGTTAGTGTATATATATATAAATATATATATATATATAAAATCAAACATCCTTGATGTCAGCCACCATTTTTACCAGTTAGTGTGCGGCTAAAATGAAGTCGGCCCCAGTAAAGCAAAAGTCCCAACTAACAGGATTCTTTCAGTATTAGACCAAATGTCTTGCCATATTCTTTGACTTGTTGGTGTTGGAAAAACCTGTCTACCTACTGGACCAGAAGACACCCTTCTGTGTGCTCATCAGTACGTTTAAACAGCTGTCAAATGGGACCTCATGTTACAATAGGATCGCTTGTTCAAATAAGGTTATGAATGCTGTGGAACTAGATGAAATTTACCAGGGAGGGTAGGGTTGGGCCAGGGACACGCAAAAAAAAAGTGGGGCGATGAAACAGTACATTGTTTAGTTTACCAGGTGAGCCACAAACCCTAGTTTGCAGACGCCTGATCTAATCAATAATAGCTATAATCTTAATAGGACTGAAACTAGCTCAACAATGATATAAGTGAATAAAAGTTTCTTGAAATTTCAGTCCATTTGCCCCTAATTTGAACAGGTAAATAAGGTGTTCTGCTAAAGGAATTCCTTTTTTTCCCCTTTTAAGATATTATTTGCATATGATTTACTTGAAATAAAATAATGCAGCTCTTTTATTTAAATCATCTTATTCCATTCCTAAATCGTCTTGCTGACCTGCTCAAATCAAAGGAAAATATGTTTAATCTAAGATAAATTTACTTAAGATTTTTTTAGCATTACGGTATATGTTTTTTTTAAGCACAGGGGTCAGGAACTTTTGGCTGCCGCCTAAAAACACCCATGTGTCCTAGTTTGGTAGTTTGCACTTTCTATAGTAAATGGTAGAGGCCAGAATGTGTTTCGCAAAGTTAAGAATTTTATCAAAGGTGATCAGTAAACTAGTATTACTAGTTCTTTCTACTCATCTATTAATGTGGCAAAATAAATGCCTTTCTAAATGGAACTACTGTGCTGAGCAGCACTTTGGCTAACTACAAGGACCAAATCCTTAACATTAGTTAAAATGCTGAGGTTTAATTCATTGTTTTAAATCCTCTAGATGAATATTTTGGCATCCATTGAAAGGTACAACAATAAGTCTACTAGATTTGACTTTTGTGCTAAAAGTACAGCTATCTAGTAAGATTTTGTTCAGACAAATTCATGTTAGCCAGTTAAAACATATGGGTCTTCAACAACTAGTTAAATGGTAATACATATACTAGTTAGGCGTAGTCATCTATCAGTTGCAACTTTTGCATTACTGGTCCAATGAATTTGTTGGCAAAAACATGATCAATCTCAAGGACATCAAACAAAATAGACAAACTACTTGCCATAATCCTTGCAAATATATTGTTCATGACAGCAAGAGTGGAAGTGATTAAATTAAGTTGAAGATTATCATCTAGACAAAGAAATGGTTTTATGAATGAGTTTCTCACACACAAACAGCTCTGTTTCATCATTTTTCCAAGAAAAAAAAAAAACATTTTCTAAAAACAAAACAAAATAATATTTACAAACTATCAGGATGTGCGCATCAACAGCTCCCTCAGCTTTGTGAAAACACCCAATTAACCTTCCTTCAACATTTAAACACTTTCGCTTTACAGGTTCCTTTGACAATCCCAACCCTGAGGCACTAAAACCCAACTGTACCATCTTGCTCATCGACAATTTCCAACAAAAGCACCCTCAGGCTAAAATATGTGCTTAGTTCAAATGACATGGATGAAAATAATCAAATAGAAGATGGACAGCAATGATAAATGTGTCAACAAATGTATCCGAATTCATGGCTTATTCCATAAAAATTTCACATTTCTTTGAACATAAGGGTTACTCTCAAGTACTCCCCCCATCTGCTTGCTTCAACTGCCTACAGTTTGCCCGATGACGCTCTGCGAGACACTGGGAGTGATTTCAGCCCCAGCTAAGTCATGATCAACATGAATACATCCTAGCTGCCTCCCGCCTAAATGCCGCTCAAGCATAAAAAAAACCTGCGAAGGACAAAAAGAAAAACGAGGAATTCAGCCACGCCGTAAGGAGTGCTAGTCGTGTCGGTTGGTCTGCCCCGGTCAGCCTGCAGTGCATGATGGGATGCTGCAGGTGGAAGACTCAGGCAGGCAGCAAGGAAGGATCAAAGAGCAGCACACACACACTTCTAGTCCGTATACTCAGCCACTATAGACAACAGCACCGTTATATCATCTGGTTTTCCTCCTGCAGAGAGAGAAAAAAAATTAAAATCTTCCCATTTAGAGTTTAATCTTAAACATCCATAGCTTTCTTCTTCAACTTGCCCGTTACTTACCTCTTACATTCAGACCATTGTCACAGGCAAACTGTGCAAAAGGAGACATATAATTTGGATCGTAGGCAAGGTCATGAGCTTGCTTTGCGATACTTTGTGCAGTCTGCAGTACACTATCGTAGTTAGAGGTCTGGAGAAAAAAAAAATTAGAAGTGTTAAAACCCACATAGGATTCACTGCGTGTAAAAAGTAGGATGCTTTCCAAGACCCATACCTTGAGTTTTTTTAGCTCCTGCAGAATCATGTAGTCTGGCATGTTGTCAAAGAGGCCGTCTGTCGCCGTTAAGATGATGTCACCAAGCTGGACATCGAAGGATGAGCTGTCTGCAGCTTCAGGACTAGAACGAAACATCAAAGGATAAAAATAAGTCAAATTTGAAAAGAGAAACCTGATGATAACAGTTTCAATTACTTCCAACACTTTCCTATATGGAGTAAAGTAGAAAAAAAAATGCTGAAGGTGATTAAAGTGCATCTGCTCCTAGAAGGCCAAACTGGACCACATAATACACAGCAAATTGTGCATGACCAAGGTTTGAACATTAAGAGTGCCATGCTGTCCCTGGAAGATGTCTGAGCGGAGATATTGGAGCATCCAGTAAAGAGCGAGTAACTAAGCCAACTTTCACTAGTCTTCAGACTAGCTGGTAGTTAATGCATAATAAAATATAAAGAGGTATAACAAGTGTCATATTGCACAGTTATTTATTTGCACTTTACAAAAAAATAAAATAAAATAATTAAGTGCTATGTTATTGAAAATGTTATAGGTATTTTTCTAATATCGTCATTTAGTTTTACATTTTTGATAATATAACAACCCTAGTCTCCAACAGCTTTGTCCATCTAGAGATTAAGATTTCTGCCCTTCTTCAACATCGATCAGATCAGAAGGATCAGATTCCTAATCAATTCAGTTACACAGGTGAACCCAATGTAACGAAAGGTTACAATTGATTTTATTGGATTCTATTTTGGATCAGAGGAACATGGGTTTAAAACCAAAGCACTTATGTTCAGATCTTTGTAATGAAATGTTGTGAGCTACATGCAAATTTTCTCTGGATCATGCCAGTAAATTGCACCAAATCCATGATAGTTTGTGAGCATATTGCGAGCATTTAACAGCAATCTACTGACCTGTCACTGAGCACAACTCCCTCGGCTCCAGGAGGAGCGATTGATAGCTGGAAAGGCGTGTTGAAATAGTGCTGTTGCTCATCTGAACGATGGACCACCTCTCCGCCCCGCACCACAAGGAAGCCCGAGTCTCCAAGGTTACACGTGTGTAGCTGGTGACTCCTTCGATCCAGAACAACAATGCAGGCAGTGCTGCTTCCTATATAAACACAAGAGTAGAAATATGTAAACAGAGCATTTATAAAACAAGATTAAAGAAATCTGTTACTGTAAATGTGCCAAATGTTACTATTATCTAATGGAAGGGAAAGGAAAAATTGCAGCCGGCTATGCCCTCCTCTCCCAGATCCCACTAACCTTGGGCACAGAGGGTAGAGTACTAACCTTTTGACAGGTTCCTAAAATATAATTAGAGCCTTTTATAAATGTCACAGCAGCCACTGGATGAAATGTGACACAGCAGCCTCAAAAGAAATGTGACCTTGGTCACACGTTTGACCTGGCCCTGCATTTAAAATCTTTACAACCACTCAGTCTTATCAGTAACAGACGGATAAATGACCCATTTAGGACCTGGCTGAGAGCAACATATGCATGTTTGTATAATAGAAAAATATTATCACCCCCCAAAAAAAAAACAAATTGTCAGCATAACAAACAAGCCATTTGCAATTACTTTAAGCATAAACCAACAACAAACAAAATAAATATTGACAAATACACAAGCTAAAACTGAAGTTCTGCAACAAAACATCAGTAAACACTCCTTCAACATTTACTGTAGTTTCCATTTATTGTAAACATTAAGCATCCCACTTGAAAGCACTGCAACAGTCTGACTCATACTGCAGCTATTTAAGTTCAGCTCACGCCACAGATTACTGCACAACTATCCCCGGTGTACAGACTGTTCAGATGTTTATTCTCATGTGTGTACGCACCTAGCAGAGGAACTTTGTTCTGTAACAGCTCATAATATCCAGAGGTGAGAATCCCCACCGGATTAGTGGGAGTGAAGCGTCCCTCCTTCACCAATCGCTCACAGGTTCTCATCAAGGTGGCAGAGAACTGAGATGGGTCAACGCCGTAATCCCGCCATCCACCTACACCATCTGCTACACCTAGAAATAAGAAAAGGAGATTCATTAATATGCACCCCCCCAAATAGGCTTGTTTTTTCAAACCCCCATAATTAACAATTTTTGTAAAAATGCATTTTAAAGCCACATTGAAGCATCTCTTAGCAAGATACATTTATTTACTAATCACATTTCCACGGACAATTCCAAGTGCAGCACATAAAAGAAAAAAAGTAGAATGGAGTTGTATAAATGCCACAAATAGTTGAGGAGAATAAAACTTAATTAAAATAGGAGCTTATATATAAGAAAAGAAAAAAAAACTGATTGATACAAAAAATAAAAGGAAAGTTGGATTTAAAGTTAAATAAAATTTTAAGGCCAATCATTTTCTTTATTGTCTGCATATCCCCTTATTTGTTTCACACATTGCCTTTTAAAACCCACAAACCTTAATGATTTAGAGAAAATTTGTGAATAAATAAAGTTAAAGAAAATTAGTCTGGTTTGTAATTTTCCTCCCCAAGAACAAGCGTTCAGTACACTAAAGGTTAAAGCTTTTCACCATGCAAAATAGCCAAAGCTTGTAAAAATAGGGAGTGTCTCAATGCAAAGATTTGCCACAGACTTTCTGTTAAGACTATGATCAAAACTAGAATTATCCAATCTAACACAAATAATCATTAATCTCAATCTTTCCATTGCTTTTTTGCTTTAAGGTGAGCACAGGCCCTTTTTAGCCTCTGAATTTATTTTTCTTTGATATAGTGTCAGATATTAATCCAATTATCAAATGATTAGCAAATATATATTAAAACAAGATAACTATAAAAGTTAAAGAAGAATAGCTATACATGGTACCACATTACACTACAAGCAATAATTTAACTTGACAATAACTATTCTCTCTCTCAGCAAGGATTACAAAAGAAAAACAACAAATATGCTTACACTTTAACACACTACAGCTAGAGAATTGCGATTAAACTAATTAGACTGGAGCTTGGAATTTCCCTAAAATTCACTCCTCTGTGGCTAGAACAAAGAACCAGTCTTTAACAAAGAACATATTTAGACCACATTTCCTCCACTCTTCCTTTGTCTCATGATTTAACCAGATAGAGATTAGTACACCGCAACAATAACTTCAAATCGTTAGAATAAAACATGTCAAAGTGTTGAATGAAACCACGTGGTCTGCCTGCGGAGCATTTGGTCAGTGTTACCGGTGAGGACAAAAAGCACCAAGCTAAGGCTAGCGAGCTAAGGCTAGCAATATGGCTGCCTCCACTCTCAACCATTCTGACCTCTGCAAGACATTGTAGTATTCATTCCCAATTTTCTTGATTGTGCACCTTGCAGTCATATTCAAGCGGAAAACCGTCTGTTTAAAACTTTTGATATTATTTATTCCCTTTTCCGCTTTATCGCCGTGTAACAGTGTCAGTGCCTATCTGGGTGAAAGGTCATTCGGTGTTTTGAAGAACAAAATACACACAAACAGAACATAACTGCATTCTGTTTAAAGTAAGTAGATAATATCGGATATTTGTATGCATATGTTAAACCCTGTTAATCAGATAAAATTACTTTGTCAAGCTTTTATAAAAGCGGAGGGGGGACATAAAAGAGAGGGGGGTGTTTTGTTTTCATCCGTGTGGTCCGTACACGTGCGGGTTTGGATCACTGAAGGTCACCAGAGCTGTATTAATAATACAATTTATAACGCAGCTCAACGTCCGATGCACCTTACCTAAAACATCGGCGGCCCTGTGCCGCGCTATGAAGCAAGCATCATCACCGTAGCACATCCCTTTCTTCAGGATCCCTTTGCGAAAGTCTTTACCGAAGCCATAACTGGCGCTGATCAGGCTATAGTCCCGACCGTCTGTCTGAGAAAGTCCGCCCAGGACAGCCCTGGCTACCAGTCTCCCATAGGACAATACAGATAACATCCCCCGGCAAGGAGAGTTTCAGTCCCGATTACAGCCCGAACACGCTGTTCCCTTCTTCCTCCGATCAAACCGACCACCTGTCCTCGGATCACCGGCTGTCCGTTTTATCCGTCCATTAGCCTCCAACAGGCCCCTCCGCAGTGACAATAAAGACGCCCCGGTTGTGTTCCTGCGCTTTATCCCGTAGGCTGGACTATACCGCGGGCTGTTTATGTTCCCCGTGTGCCGTTCTCAGTCACTACAGTTCCTCCGCTGGGCTCTCTCCTCACCGACATGTTGCTACCGGACACAAAGCTACAAGATCACATATGGGTGTTTACAACTGTGACGTCGCGGCAGAGCGCGTAAGGTAGCTCCTCCCACTGAGCATGCGCACAAGAAGAGAAGAAAGATGAGATCAAGGGCGGAGAAGACATGCGATTCCTCGCTCAAAACTAAATGGAATAACACTAGGGGCGGAGCTAGATGGGGAGCCAGGGGTGGCCATGGCCACACTTAGCCAATCATTGGCCACCCCTACCATTTTTTCCCCCTCTAATACAGTCAGTGGAAGCAGTAATACTCTCAAAAGGAATATTCAAAACATTTTATTTTTTTTTGTGATTAATTATACTCTACTGGTAATTATACACTACTCTACTAACATTAAAGATGATAAATACAGAAATCATGCTCTTTTCAGAACTAGATTTTGTGTTTTATGGGGTAAAGAGAAAAATGTCTCTGCAAGTCATCTAGGGCCCTGTCCACACGAAGTCAAAACGAACATGAAACGCTAATATTTTCCAGAACGTTTGTCGTAAAGACGGAGACGTAAAATAAATGTGATCGTCCACACGAATGCATGAAAACGCTGCAAAATGTATGCAAGGCCTGTAAGTGGCGCTGTGGTGCCAAAGCAAAAATAGGCGACGAAATGTTGGGCATGCGCACTAATATTTATACATGGTTGCCCTGCGGGTCCATTTTCGTGGTTCAGTCAAATTCAGGTGCTGAACTATGTCGTCGATATTGCTCTGTTCTTCCTGGAGATATTCCAGAAGAAGATTCTGTTGTAAGCCCGACAGCAGGGTGAGTAGCATTAGCAGCAACCATTCAACACAGTACGGCGCCATTGTTGTTGTGATACTGTGTCGCGCATGCGTGTTTAGAGGCGACGCTATGATGCATGCGTGTAAAAAAAAAATGCGGTTAGAGCTTAAAGATGGAAACGCGAAAACGGCGTTTCAAAATCTTCCCACTCTGAAGGCTGAATAAAAAAAAGATCGTTTACAGACCCCCGAAACGCCGGCTTCGTATGGATGAGAGGCTGATTTGGTGAAAAATTTGTGCGTTTAGGCCAGGGTTCGGCTTCGTGTGGACGGGGCCTAGGAGTCTTCAGTGAAATCAAAGATACATAATTTTAATAAAAACTTAGCAAATAATCAATTTATGTAGATATTAGTGCTTGTAAATATCAACTTTATGCAGACTGTTTATTGATACAAGTCGGTAAGTAATGACAGTGATGATTGATTTATGCCCCAGAACTCAAAACTGAGTTTTATCCACTATACCTTTTATCTAGAAATTACGGATGTTTAAATATATGCGTCTTTTTGTTAGCAAACGCTGTAGGAAAGTATAGTTAGTCTTTGTTTAGAAAATATGGATGTTTTGCTTGTTAATTTTCCTGTGTAGTTTGACCGTCAGGTTCTGGTGCCGAACCACTATCAGCCACCCCTCAGTGTACATTAGTTATTGCCTGGCCACACTTATAAAAAATTTTTGGCTACGCCTCTGAATAACACATCCTAGATCTGAATGAATTAAAGAATCTAATTGAATACTTTGCTCTGCATGAAGTTGAATTTGCCATCATCTCAATCACACACAAATCATCAAAGGAAATCAAATTTATTAACCAACAAAGGCCTGGATTTGGAGTCTCACACAAAACTAAAGTGGTAAAACACACAACAAGTTAATCCAACTTTGATGTAATGTCCTTATAACAGGTCAAAATTAGGCTGCATATTGTGTGTGGCCTCCACGTGCCTCTGTGACCTCCCTACTACAGCTGGGCAGACTCTTGATGGGGACGCGGATGGTCTCGTGAGGGATCTGAGGATCCCATCTCGGTACCCAATGGCTGTCATGCTACCTATGGCGAGCACATGGAGAGCTGTGCAGCCCTCCAAAGAAATGCCACCCCACACCATTACTAACCCATTGCCAAAACAATCATGCTGAGGGATGTAGCCGGCAGCAGTGTCTCCAGACTCTGTCTCGTTGGTCACTTTTGTGATACCAACATTCAAAACATCAGCCAGACAGCATTGGTCCCGACCTGCAGAACCACTTCTTTGTTGAGTGTGTCTTGCTAATTGCTAGTAATTTCTATTTTTCCATTTGCACA